TGAGAAAGAGAGAGAGCTCAGAAGAAAGAGTTTGTACTGTACGCACATTAGAGAAAGAATGCATGTCATGTGGTTTTGGGAAGTGGGATATTATCTGTGCTCCTTAGTCCTGTGAATTTCTGAGTAGATTTATGGTGTTTGGCCTCCATTTGCCAAGAAGTATTGATGTTCTCAGCCTGTAGAGCATGTGGACAGGTATAAAGGAAGTCCCCTAGAAGAGTAAAACATTTCTTTGCGGTGTCATGCCATGACACTGGTGCCGTAAAAATTCTGCTGACACAATCTTGAGTAAGTGAACTTGCAACCTGTTTTATTTCTCCCTTTACGTGTCTGCATATCTGCATGCAGAGCTCTGTGACCTATTTGTCCAGACAGGACAGATGAGTGCATTTTCCTCACTTAGGATAAATTAAACTCTGTGTCTGTGGTTTTCTCCACAGAAAACAGCACCAGTTTAGGGAACTTGAAGTTTTAGTCTTGAAGCATTGCTCAGTTATGTGTAATGCAAACACAAGCCTCTTTATACAGTACTTACCTTATGTGCATTGTGCACATGAACACATTGGTAGCTGCAGCCTAGAGATTCTTGTTTGTATTTATGTATTTGCTCTCAAACTCACAGGAGGAAGCCACTGTTAAGCACTGGTTTCAGTCGTTTGTGTGATTAATATAGCAGGCGTGAGTCAATGATTGAACCAATGTATAGCTGTTCATTTACTTGACATCATCAAGGCCATCCTACCATGTTATGATTCTGTTTGCACGTTTTTTGAGAAATCTACTCAGTATGAGTCAGCTAAGGAGGAATATTTTACACAAGGGCACACGTTTTGACTTAATTATTTAAGTAATTAATTATAATAGGGTTTCTTTGTCATAATAGATTTTTCGGAATTAATTAGAGAAAGAAAAAAAGCACCTCAGATTTGACTTAAATGTGTCCCAAGGAGTTTTACCTGAGCAGACATTAGCTGTTAGATCTGATTTAATGCTGCCTATTTTGCAGATCAGTTAGATCAAACTAGGTATTATTGCACATTCTTGTCAGGTTGCTCTAAGCTAATAACTCAGAAATGGACATTGTCTTCCATTTTGCTGTGGGCCTCCTGGGCGCTGTCTGCACCCATGTTTTTGAACAGTCTCGGTCAAAGCGCTTTTGTTTGACTCACCTCCTGAAGGTGGAGGTCAATGCAAATCACCGAAAAATGATTTTGAGTGACGGTGGCAGATGTTGTGTCTGATGCCATTCAACAGTGTTTTAGGATAGACTGCGGCTGTGCTGTGTCTCTGTGTGTGTGTGTGTGTGTGTGTGTGTGCGGTTTTCTCTCTCTGCCCTTGAGCCTTTATCAAGTCCTTCTAATTATTTTATTATGCAAATGAGTCACCATTATTTCATTAGCGAGGCAGCCAATCACAGAAGCTGATTAGGAAGTAATTAGCATGCAGTTGGTTTTTCTCTCTCTTTGTGTCCTTGTGAATTGAGGGGAGGGGGCAGTAATAACCCATCTGGACACACACTTGTGCATATACTTTGAAAACTGTAGTAGAGATTCGTTAAACTGTATTATACAGTAACACACGGACAGACAAATGGACAAAAACACAGTGCACTTCTGGAATGTTTAAAGCACTCCCAGTTTTGATTAGATGCCTGAAATAAGGTCAAAGGTTAACACAAGTAAAGTCAAGTCATTTATATAGCACATTTAAAATAAACAAGAAGTTGGCCAAAGTGCTTCATAAAAGGACAGAAGACAAAAACCATAAATGGGAATGTGACCTCCAGTCCAGAAAGCACAGTTACAAACGGTTTGAACCAGACTAAAAACTTAACCTTGATTAAAAGCAAGGAAATAATTTTTTTTCTTCAGTTGACATTTAAAAACAGAGAGAGACATGATGATATCTGAATATGCAGAGGGAGGTTATTACACAAAGCATTGACCACAAAACTGCATTCTAGTAGGATCATAGGGATGTAAAATATCAAGGAACTAAGAGGGAGCAGAACCTTTTAAGGTTCTGTGAGTCAGAGGAAGGATTTTAAACATTCTAGTAATATTTTTATAAAAATGAATCAAATGACTATAATAAAAAGGGAGTCATTCACAGTGACAAAGTCACAGATGAACAACATGCCCTCAGTGTACACAGTGTTTTAGCATCTTTCAGTTCACTGTTTTGGTTTTCCACTTACTGTTTTATGTCAGCCTCACCACTTAGTGTATAGCATCATTTTTGGCACAGTGGGCTGATATATTTATCAAAACAGTTATAAACCCACTGTACACTTTCTGCTCAGCATCAAATGGGCAAACAGACATAGTTAGTGACTGTCTGATGAACATAATGGAGCATTTAGCAGCTAAAGAGCCAGATATTTCCCTCAGGGCCTGGTAGAAACCACAATGAGGAGTGAAAGGAGAGTGAACATTGGACTTTCATCAGGTGGACAGAATCATGACTCCAAATGAATGCAAAGCAGCTGCTAACAAGTTATCAGAACAATATCAACTTAAAAATAACAATATGCTGCCCCCAAGTACGTTAAAATCAGCAGCTCTTGAAGGTTTAATTCCACTAGCAGAGCATACCAAATGGTCACAGATACATAGATACTCCATAGATACTCTTGAGTCTTATTTTCAGCAAAGGTAAAATAATAGTTTAAGATCTGCTCTTCCCATTAATGACAACAAGGATTTATTGTCTTTTGGTGTGTGTGTGTGTGTGTGTCTGTTGCTTTAACTTGGCAGAACAGTGAGGAAAGGGAGAAGTGTTAACTGAAAACGTGGGTGAGCTAGCGTGACATTTGTGTGTGTGTGTAGACAGTTTCACACATATTTAGTTTCTATACACCCCCCGATACTGTATATCGCTAATACTGCTTTGTAGATTCAAGTCATCCCTATAAACACACCAGAGTTACATGCTTTGCTCATGTAGAGAAGCTACCTGACAGCAAGATGTAAACTGACAAAAACTGAGTCATGGACTTTTACACAAACACACCGGGCACACATTTTTAGACATCAGTAGAATTAGATTGTTGAGTGTATAATATAATAGTTAATTGAACACAAACAAACATGCTGCCATGCTGTACTTTGTGTCTTCTGCATGTCCCTGTAGCTTGCTGTGACAAAGACTTAATTGAATTGAATTGGAGTGAAGGCTGAGAGGCTGGTTTAAAGAATGATGCTGAGAGGAATGTAATCCAATTCATCTTTGAGCCTGTGAGTCACAGCCAACCATACAGCCATCAGCCAAAGACAGTCGCTTAGTTTGATGTTAACTTGTTTCTCCTCCAGCGGTGGCTGTCACCTCCTGGTATCCCTCTGTAGCGGGAGCTCAGATCAGTGGGGTATCTGTAGGCCTGTCACTCTGCTCTCCATCACAGCCGGCACAGCCCGCTCTAGGACACAGGTAGCAAAGCTGGAGGCTAACTGAAAGCTAAGAGATGTTGCTGGCAGTGCTGGTTGCTCATAGTGCTTCAAGGTGGTTTGTTAGTGGATATAACCATGCCATCTCTATATCTTTCTTACCTGAAAATGTGCTCATTTTGCACCAGAGAAACATTTTTTGTGTCCTTGTTTAGTCAGTTTTTATCCCTGGCCAACATGGTGCCTTTCTCTGTAGACTTTGTCATTGTCCCTGCATGGGTTCTCCCCAGGTGCTCCGGTTTCCTCCCACAGTCCAAAGACATGCAGCTTACATTGATTTGCGACTCTAAAGTGTGTGTGGTTGTTTGTCTCTAAGTGTCAGCTCTGTGATAGACTGGCAACCTGTCCAGGGTGGACCCTGCCACTTTCCCAGTGCCAGCTGGGATTGGCTCCAGCCCTCCCTGTGACACTATAAGCAGTATAGATAATGGATGGATGGAGTTTAAGCTGCATACAGTTTTAACATTCTTCATTCTGTCAGAGTTCTTTTGATCAGAACAGTGGCTAAACAAAAATAGTCTTACCATGAGAACCAAGCATGTTTGACCTTTTTATTCAATTTAATTTTTTTTTTTTTTTGCAGATTTGGTATGATCAACATGTTCAGTCATGTTTTTAGCCTAGACTTTGGCAAAAATGTATATAATATTCATATTGTGATAAACTATTTATTATCATCTTGGGTTTGGTTTAATAACAAATTCATTGTTATGTAAGCACTGGTTCTGGCTTCTCAAATGTACATATTTGCTGTCAGTCTTCTTGAATATACTTGGGTTTTATATTGTTGTTTAGACAAAACAAGGCTTGGGACATTTTTGCTATTTTGTGACAATTAATAAACCAAATAATAGATTTATCATTGTCATATAAATGAACATTAGAGTTAATATACAGTATCTTAGATTTTAGCTACATCATGACATATATCACTATAATAAAACTATAAATAAAAGATTTTATCCTTGTCATCCAATAGTACTTTAGGCAACTTCAAGAAGTGCACAGATGATGCATTTCTGTGATCACTAGCTACCAGTGACTTGGATCACATGACATTGTGGTTTTTCTTATCCACAGTTCTCCTAGTCATTTTATTAACACAAGCCATTGCTAGGTCAATGAATCAGATAGCTAGCAGTACCCATCATGATATTGCTCTCAGCAATATTGCCAGTACAACCCACATATCATTGCAAGTTGATTGATTTAACTAACCATCAGGGACAAGCGGCGTCTCTCTGTATTAGAGCGAGTTCCTTTGTAGGCAGGCCCAGGGGTGGCCAGTTCACACATGGTCGTCCTGAGGTGGTGGTGATGGGCTCAGATGATCAGCTGGAGGCCCCGATGGTTGATCCTGACTGGCCTTGAGTGATTGTTGGAGCTCAGTCTCCTGGTGGTTTGTTAATGAGCTGAGACCAAGATATGCACAGAAAAACCACATACAGGAAAGTTTTACTGGATAAGACCAGAGAGGAATTCATGTTAGATTCAGTGAATTTGTTCATTAACTATTCATCATTTGAGGTGAACTAAATCTTTTGTTTCTCTTTGCAGGCAGCTGTACATTTGATGAAGGTTTCTCTCAGTGTGATTACCAGCAAGATCCCTATGATGACTTTGACTGGACGCACATCAACACCAAGGAAGTACCATATGTGTCCCCGGATCTACCACAAGGTGAGGCTTGATGTTTCTGTCACCAGATCTGATCACCTCCATTTAGTGTCCATCTCCTCCCGGTGGGGAAAGAAATTCAGTCCAGCGCTGTACTTTAGTACTTAACAGACTGATGAAGCAGCATTGTTACATATCTCATGTCTGAAAAGGGCTATACCGTATAAACAGTATTGCAGTTGTTAGTGTTCAACTATTCACCAGCAATTACTAGCAAGGCCCAAGAAAATGCTGCTCTGGACAGCCCTATTAATACCACTGACACCTGTCCACTTCTGCATCTCATCCACATCTTCTCACTCTCACCTCTTTTTCAAGACATGCTGTCCTCTCTTTTCTCTCCTTTCCTCTCCTCTCCTATTTAATCAGTTGCTTTTTTCTTCCATGATGATGATGAAGGGGAAATTAAATCTTTCTGCCTCAGGGCTGAGGGTCTAATTAACAGAATATGAGGTCATTAATCAACAGCAGGGAACAGGGAAGGTTGCCTACTTTACAATGTTAAAGCAAAATGTTATAACAATATCCATCTATGTGATGTTGAGATAGTAACTGGCTTTACAAAACTAAAAACAGATAAAGAATGGTGCATGAAAAATGAGGTTTACCGCAATGATGAAATAGTGTTAAAATGGAACAAGAAATGTCAGTTTGTTCATTTCTTTTAGGTTCTTTATCTCATTTCCTTTCTTTTTCCTGTCCCATCCTGTCCTTTCATCTTCTGTTTCCTCCTTCCCTCCACCCGTTTCCTTTCCTCATCTTCTTTCCCTTCCTATCTTCCCCTCATTTGTTAGGAAAATTATGACTTTGTTTCCATGACAATGCAATGCCATTATGTTTCTCTCATACTTATCATCATGACAACCCAGCCACATTGACATTTAGAGAAAGGTTCAGTTCAACACCAGCTCTTTACAGTTTTAACATATACACATTTCCTCCCAAAACAGTGTGTTGCTGTCTGGTACATGTGGTCTTGCATAAATTTAATCAGTGACACAAGTGTGGGGTGCCTTGCTCAATGGTACAGAGCCAAAGTCTAGCATTTAGTGCTATTAATACCAAGTGGTGTTACTATGCAGAGAGGGCAGGGTTGGCAGTTTGAAGAGGTTAAATACTTTGCCCAAGAGTGCAGAGGTAATGCCTAGAATTAGCAAGGCATTAGTGCCTGTAGAAGCTAGTGGAATGTACTGGGGCACGAGGATGGCAGAGCAGGTTAATGGCTTGGAGAGTTTGGTTGGGGGGTTGGAGGGGGCGTGGGGTGTGTTTCAGAGCCTTGCCTAAAGGTAACGTAGCATGAACTGACATTTGATGTGTTAATAATGCCAGCAGGGTGTGGGGCAGTGGTGCAGTGGGAGGAAATGAGGTTGCTGGAGGGGATTACAATTTCAGAAGTTGGTTTTGGTTTTTTTTATTTGGAAGGAGTAGTAGGAAATGGGTGAGAGGTTGAGTTGGTAGCTCAAATGCCTTGCCTGGGAACACATGGGTGATGTTTATTATTAGAACCTCTGTTTTCTCAAGCCAATAGTAATTTACATGAGGCTACTCCGGTCTGGCTAGCTGCAGTCTTCCTGAGGGCATGGCAGGAAGAGCAGTGGCATTAAACCTGTTTGCCTTTTGACCCTTGACAACAAAAGGGTAATTACTGCCTTAGTATTTGGCGTATGAAAGAACTTTGGGAGTGAATTTATTTAGTTGATTAGTAGTTTAGGAAGGAGGGGTTATATATTGCCAAAGGTATTAGCAGTAGAAAAAGATTCTTAGTGTTTTATGCAGAATGCTTTGAGTCATCAGATTGTTCAGCCAACAGTCATACTTTTGTTGTTCAGAACCAACAGTGATTCATCCCAGGTGCTACCTGCTGTTTGTGCTTGGAATCAAATGGCAAATAGCCACTGAGTGTGGCAATACTGAATGTGTAGGGATGGGCTGGCCACTTCTGTAATAGAGAAAACCCTCTTCTGTGTAATCTCTCTGGGGTTGATGCTGGCACTAGTCACCATGGCAGAGTCTAAATGCTACGCTGACAACGTGTGTTGTGCCAGTTGAACATTCATGGGCTGGGGCTGTGTGGCTCAGTGGACTGAACCAGATACTCTTGACTCCTAATGTTGTCAGCCAGTACCACTCTAAACCTATTTGGCATGCCATTCTCTCTTTCTTCTTGTTTTCTACTGTGTACTGTCTAATAAGGCAGGAGAAGAAAGGCATTTAAACTGCAGCAGAGCTGGCTCCTTGTCCCCCGGATGTTTTAATAATGACCAAATCATAACGAATACAGCAACACAGATCATGCATGGCCTAAAAACTACCATCAAATCAAAACCCCTCTGACAAGTCTTTGCAAGAGCTGAACATTAGGAACAGCAAGAGCTGTGGTGATTGAAAATAAAATAAAGATGATCTCAAAAGAGATTTCATATTTCATCATCAGCTAGAGAAATGCGCCCTGTCTCACTTCCAGTGGGGAGTCATGTTTCTGCAGTCTGGACGAGCTGTACATTTTGTTATTTGTTATTTTAGCTGTTACCCCAACAGCAGGCTGTTATTGTTTTGCTGTAGAATACTGTCCTCTGTCTACCACAGTGCCACTGTTGTTGTTACTGCATGTGACATATCTGGGTCTTAAGGCTGTCATGGGGGTATTTTTAACCCCATCATTATGTTGTGTCATCATTCTATTAGCAGCCATTTTGTGCTTTGGGAGTTCAAAGACATCAGCCATTTTAGAAACTGGCAGACTTCAGGTGTCAGATGTTCTTGGCATCACAGGGTCTGCTTTCTTAGCACGGGTGTTGTATCAGTTCCATGTACTGTCACTCTTTTATTACTCATATTTTCCAATGCTATTTTTTGCAGATTAGATATTATTATTGTTCTAAATCTCTCTCAGCTCAAATTGAAGAATTTTTGCCTAATATCATTGAATACCTTTATTATTTCAATAACCCTGCAACCATAAATAGACTTTGTCAACCAAATATTGTAATCATTTACAAATATAACTCACCTATTTTGAAGCATGCAGTATTATGATTAGCTGACGTGCTTAGGGTTATATTTTGCCATGTTGATATGACATATCTGGGTCTCTGACTGATAGGAGTATTTTTAGCTGGCACACCATCTTAATAGTCATCTTAAAGGCACTTTTCTCATGTCACCATATTTGCTTCAGTGCCAAAGTGAAGGAACAGGAGTGACATCCTTCATGTGTTCATTTAGATGGATTTAGGTGACAGTGTTGGAGAGGGAGATAATGGTGCTGGCTTTTTTCCCCCTTTTTTTGATTGGCAGTAGTTCAACTTGGACACAGTTGTTTTGAGTCTTGTTGGTGACATTCAGAACCAGGAAAGAGGATTTTTGTAATGCTTCAGTGGCAAGGGTAGAGGTGTGTTTATGTGCATGTAGAGTTGGGGGCTGGGTGTTAAAGACAGAGGAAAAAATAGATCAAGAGAGAAGACGTGCCAAACCAATAACTAGGATATAATGTTTGGTACTGAAAGGCTGCACAGGCCTGTTTTATTGTTTCTGTTCTGCAGAGGAAAGTGTTTTCTCACAGTAGATTAGCTAAACAATAGCTGATAATCACCATTGTCCTAGATCCTATTGTATAGAGCATATTGTATATGGTATAATGTGCAAATAGAATTAACCATTTAAAGTGAAAGGTTCAGATGTTGTGTTGTATTATATTGCATTGTATTGTTTTTCATTTTATTCAATTCAGTTCTGTTTAATTGGCATTTAATTCTGTCTTATTGTATTCTGTTATGCTCTGTTTTAAGTGGCAGTTTTTGGGGATTTTTATTTATCACATGCAGACCACAGCATGTGAAATGTGGAAATTATGTGGAAGTTAGAAAACACAGAAAAACAAAGGGTAAGAAATATTGCAATGTCTTGTAGGATGTAGAGTACTTTTTTACACATTTAATCACTGTTCTCAGATGCTCATGTTTTCATGTAAGAGTAATTTTTATGCTGCATGAAAGCAAAGACAGTTGGTTTACTCATGCATGTAGCATCAGCTGTGAGCATACAGTTTACTCTTTGGCATGTCCGGTCATACAAACAGTGGTACTCACTCTAAGTCACAGTATGCCTCTACTGGTCTCTTAAAGCAGTGAATTTCAGCAGGTATGTAGTGTTTAAGTACAAACAATTGATTCATGGGTCATGATTCAGGCCAGACTGAAAAAACACAGTGACCCCAATCTATCTCTTATTATGTTTTTCAGCTTTGATGACCCTCTCCTCATCTTTGTCTCTGTGTCCAGGTTCCTACATGTATGTGGATGTCTCTCAGTATGATGTCGGGGAGAAGGCTAGGTTTCAGCTGCCAGTCATGAAGGAGAATGATACTCACTGTATTGACTTCAACTATCTCCTCACCAGCCCTGATGGCTCCAGCCCTGGCACCCTTAATGTCCTGGTGAAGGTACTGAACATCAGCACACTAGAACAGAAATACTGCTGGTTTTTTGTCTGCAACAAAAGTTTATATACTTTTACATGTCCAGAAAACAAGCTCTTCTTGCCTTATTAATTTTCACACATGAGCATTAAAATAAAGACAAATTTAAACCTACTTACTGGCCTTCAGGCAATTTACATTGTATGAGGTTTGATTTTATTTTACTTTCTTTCAAACTTCTTTCTTTCTCTCTTTTTATTTTTTTTTTACAAAACACAAGATTGCTTTACTCCCCAAACAACTCCAGATGAGTTAAAATGCTGACTTAAAGCTTTCTGTTTGTAACAGATGGTGAAGCTCGTCTTTAGTTAAAAAAAGCAGTATTCATGGGAAATGTGGTCTGGATTTTATGAAAAACAACCACAAGCAAAGCAGCTACATGTGACAGAGGCAGCTGACTGCCTTGTCTTAACAAGACATTGTGCAAAGATGCCTAATTAAGCCAGTTAGTACCTAATTTCACATTGAAATGCTGGCTTTTACAAACAGCAATAATGGAATTTAAATTCACTGAGAGTGTTTGTATGTTGAGATCATGGTGTAAGATTGTTATTTTATTGGACACCTGTGAAAGTACAATCCACAATCCTAGTGGACATATCTGTCGTTGAGGGAGACCACTCTGATCGGCTGTTCAGCTTAACAAATCAGGGCATGAGAAGAGAATCATTCAGGATATAGTATCTTATGATTTCTCCCCTTTGGCGCAGTTTCTCCTTGTTTTTTGTCTCCACAACCTCTTTTCTTCTTCCACAACCAAAAGACCAGCGGCAGAGAACGGCTGTGCCATTTGCAACTTCTTCTCAGACAGATTCTCGAATAGAAGCAGCTATAGACAGCAGCTGTTGTGAATGAGAGCTGCTTTGTTTGTAGATTGAACTGTATATTTAAAGTCTAGCTCTTCTTCTTTCCCTTTCTGAATGGAGATTACAGATACCGCCACCTGCTGGTATGGGGAGTTATTGCTCTCACGCAGGCACAGATCATACATATTTGGCTGTAGTCTGTGCAGTGTGTTCAAGTGCCATTTTTTGACCCAACTGGCCCAGACATGAGGCGACTCTACAGTTGGCCTACGTCACTGCTAGTTTTTTCATGCCGGCTTGGTGTGTCTCTGCCCTAAGAGTTGCTAGACAGCTGTCATTTTACTGGTTTTATCACTCTTTTTAAGAGGGAAGTAGCAAGTGTTGCTGAGTAAGACATTGAACCCCTGCCAGTCCAGAGGGTTTGTACTGTAGCTGACTCTAAACTAAAAATTGGATTTAGATGGTCTAATTGTGTATTGCATTAATATTTTTTTGTTTAACTGAATACATCTCAGGGTGACAGAAAGGAGACCTCTCTCAGTGGATCACTAAATGTAGTGGGCTAAGTGTTACTATGCTCATTTTGCATGCCATCTTATGACAAATATATTTTATTCTTTGTTTTGTCATCTTTAGGTTAACAAAGGTCCTTTGGCCAACCCCATATGGAACGTGACATCCTTCACTGGTACACACTGCCTCAGAGCACCACTCAAATTCTCATTTCATAACCTTTTCTCACACTTGCAATTTTATTTGCTTGCACTGACTGTAATTTTGTTGTTCAGGTAAAGACTGGCTGAGAGCTGAACTCGCTGTCTCCACATTTTGGCCTAATGAATATCAGGTAACTACTTAAATAACAACCAGCAGCTGCATTAATACATGATTCCTTTAGCATTTCCAGTTTTGCTCATGTGAGTGCACAAGCACCACACACACAGAAGTACAAACACATGCACATGCTATGAGGCAGGCATCTTATTTATCTGTGTTGACTGAGACTCAGGAGGTGACGATTAGGCTAGAAAGACACTGAGTAAAACAAGTTGAGTGTGTTTACGTGCATGAGTGTGTTTCATCAAACTGATGACAGATGGGTGACAAATTAAAGGAAGAACTATAAAGTGTCTTAGCAAAGTGTTTTACCACCATGTGCCAACAGAACAATTTCAGTGCACCTTGGTATTGACTCTCCAAGTTTCTAAAGTCTACTGGAGGGATGAACACCGTTGTTGCACTATGCTGAACATGTGTGCATGTGTGTTTATCTCATCTTCCTTCCTAATTTATGTCAGGCTACATGATCTGTGTATGTGTTTGTTGGCAGGTGTTGGCAGATATGTTCATGTTGCAGGATAGCTGGTCTCTGAATGTCCTAGCAGGCATATACTCACAGTGATCATGTTAACACACACAGCTTGGGGACCTATAATATTACTGTAAGGCGAAGTGTGAAAGCATCCTCCAAATGGCCCATCTGGAGCCTACTCTCCCAGTGACGATGGGAGGAGATCACCAGCCTGAAACTCGTGTGTCAACATGTTTTAATTGAACATAATCATCCCAGTTTGGTGAGGCTTATGTAGGTTTTTCTGGATATGAAACAGGTTATTGGATTTGAGGTTATGAAAGCATTTTTTTCATGTTTGAACATGTTTTTGTGTTAGCACTTTAGCTTGAGTTGTAATGAGACTGGTTTCACCAAGGGAAGACGAGGCACGTGACAGACACATGTAGACACATGTAGTCACGAGCACACTCACAGAAGAACACATGCATACACAAAAGGCATGCCCCCGTGCAGCACTGTTAGGTAGACCTTTTAATTTGTGTCTGTTTCTTCCTTATTTGAATGAAAACCTAACATTGCTTTTACTTAATGAGTGAATTCATGGATTGTCAGAAGACTGCAATATAGTTAGCCAACTGCAGATTTTATTTTTACTTTATTAGAGCTGCCATGATTAGTTAATTGATTAGCTGACTGAGTGAAAAGTAATTGGCAACTTGTTTGATTGTTGATTAAAATGTGTTAGAACTTATAAGCAGTTTGAAGTGATTTGAAAGGAGGATTTACAGTATTGTAGGACTGTTGGTTTAGTCTGGTACATAAACTCAGCAGACGTAGCTTAGGATTCGGACTATAATGTGAAATTAATCTTAAAAAGTCCCCTCCTGGAAGGTTTAAGCATTTTTATTCAGTGCCCATACATGCTTACATCATTGTGATAGATGTCATTGGTTGATAAGATGTATGCTATCACTCAGACTGAATCTAGAGTGATGATATGTCAGTGTGCTCAGCCTTCTTCACTTCAGAGTTGCTTTGCCCATGTAAGAAAACATGTAAACTCGAGCTACAAGTAATCCTGCCTCACACTGGTGAGATCGGTGAGTCAGTGCCTGACACCTGCATGAACAATGCTGTTTCCTCAGAGCTAACCACCATCACATCCATGAATTGCTTAATTGAAATGGTGTAAATTCAGTAAGCAAATGGCAGTTGATTGTAAGTAAGTAAGTAAGTAAGCTTTATTTATATAGCACCTTTCATAGATAAAATCACAAAGTGCTTCACAAGATCAACAAAAGCAGAACAAACAAAATGACAATATAACAAAAACCAAAAAATAACATAAAAATAAAATAAGCTGCATAAACATATTTAAAACCAAAAACTAAAAATCAACCAAAGGCCTGTCTAAAAAGTGTGTCTTCAACTGCTTCTTAAAACTATCAACAGATTCGGCCATGCGTAAAGACAGCAACGCATTCCACAGTCTAGGAGCCACAGCCTGAAACGACAGGTCCCCCCTAGTCTTCAAACGGGTTTTGGGGACCATCAAGCTGGCCTGACTTGAGGAACGGAGAACACGCTTTGGAGAGTATGGGGTGAATAGATCAGCAATATACTGAGGAGCCTGACCATGAAGTGCTCTAAATGTTAGCACTAAAATTTTAAAATCAATCCTAAATTTAACTGGTAACCAGTTAAGTGAATATAAGACAGGCGTAATATGAGCTATTCTAGAGGTTCCTGTAAGAAGCCTTACTGCAGCATTCTGCAAAATCTGAAGACGATTTAAGGCTGACTTATTACAACAAATAAGAAGGGAATTACAATAGTCAACACGTGAAGAAATAAAAGCATGAACAATCATTTCCAAATCAACCTTTGATAACATTTTCCTTAATTTAGAGATGTTCCTCAGGTGATAAAAACAATTCTTAACCACCTGTCTTATGTGGCAATCAATCTTATGTGTGTATTCAGGTTTCTGTGACCCTGAGCTTTGAGGACATCATTCACCACGAACTCCCAAGAAATGCATTATCATTAACAGAGCTACATACTTAAGACTTGGCCTCAAGCCATATTTCTAAAAGCACAGAAATGAAACTGGAGTCTTTGTTTTGACTGCTGTGAAACTTGTGACTTCACTGCCTTAAAATGTGACTTGAGATTTGAAAACTAAAAACAAACTCACCTCTTAAATTTTATGTCCTTTTCATATTCAGCATTCAGAGACGTGAAAGACTAAACAGTGTCAGAAGACATACTCATATTCTTCACTTAAGTAAAAGTAGTAATACCACAGTGTAAAAATACTTTTTGCAAGGAAAGGTCCTGTATTCAGAATGTTACTTCAAAGTAAAAGTACAAAGTTATTAGCATCAGAATACCAAAAGTATCATGTTGTCTCGTGAGCTAAGTGTATTGTCACACCCCTAGAAAATACTCAAGTAAAGTACAGGTACCTCAAAATCTACTTTAGTGCAATACTTGAGTAAATGTACTTAGTTACTTTCCAGCGCTGCTTGCACATTCCTCCACACAGAGCATGAGACTTGGTTTGGACTCGTCTCAACTGACTTGAGATTTCACTTGGAAACACTTCTGGTTAATTGCTGTATATTGAAGTAAATACAAAAAAAAACTTGATTCTGTTTAAGAGAGTAACTTTATGCCTTTGCATACAAAGGACAAGAAATCATTAGGTCATGTTGTGGCTACCTAAATAAACACGCTTATAAGCAAGTATCAGGAGGCCAGAGAGGCAGGCAAACAGAGATGAAGGCTTTTAAAGTCAACTGATGTCTTTCTGCTTTGGTCCGCAGTGAGCTATTGGTGAAAGATGATAGGAGAGAGAGACAAGATAGATTGGCATAGGAGGGAGACTGAGAGAGGGAGAGTATGACAAGCAGGGGCTGATAAGAAATGGGTAAACAGTTCACGGCAGATTTCCTTTTACTGGTGATGAATGACAACAACTGCTCATCCTCTAGCTCTCTTTCTCTCTCTGTCTGTCCCTCTGATAGTGACCTGCCCCTCTCTCCTCCCTCCTCTTCCTCTGCTCATTACACTGCTCCTCTCTGAGTAAACACTGTTAGAAAACAGAGAAGGCAAAAGACAGACAGAAAGAGTGGGGACTGGGGAGAGGTGGGGGGTGAATCCTCTTTTTCAGTTGATGAAGTGAGGTGAAGCTAAATGGAAGCTCTTGTTGACTGCAGTGTTAATGCTCTACCTGAAATACAGTATATGGACCCTGAGTAGCAGGCTCTGTTGCCTCTCATGAGGCTGAGGCTTAAGGATGTTTAGCATTATACATGGAGTGTCATTCTCACCTCTAAGTGAAAGGTTCTTTTCTCCTGCTGCCAACATATTGACAGCCACCTCTAAGTGAAAGGTTCTTTTCTCCCGCTGCCAACATATTGACAGCTTTCACTTAGAGGTGAACTTTTCACAACTTTTCCATGTTGTTGGGTGACTTTTGAGTCTTGAACGGACTTTACCAGGATGTTATGTGACGGAGATGTATGTCAATGAAGGGCACCCTGCTGCACCTTCAGTGTTTGAATGTGTATACTTTCATAGGGTTTAAAAGTAGAAATAGAATCAGCAGCCCCAATTACAAATCACATTTCCACATTTTGTTGCTTTCCTTTTAATTTTTCTGTTTATTTTAACAAAAATATTTAGTTCAAAATGCAAAGAAAAGCAGATGGCGATGAGAATTAGTTAGGCAAATATTGGGCAAAGTTAAAGTTTGACCTTTTGTGGCAGTAGAGAAAAAAATGTTTCACCAAAAGCATTTGAATTCATATTGAAAACAATATAAATTTAGTAAAATAAGTAAAGACGGGAATAAAAATGCAAGTAAGCAAAAAAAAAAAAAAAAAGACAGACACGGATGATAAAGAAAAGGTTAGGCTCTCTTCATTGTCTATTTGTCTGCATTGGTTTCATTACTTGTATTTTGAGTAGCAGCCATTTTATGTGTACCAAAGGAGATTACTATGATCCAACAGGAAGTAGCTCATTTATCCTTCTTGGCTTGTTGACCAGAATGTGTAAATCCTGCAGCAGTCAGGATGGCGGCTTTGTGTTTATCCAGTTTTATGCACATAGCTGGCACCTATCAGCATATTCCTTGACAATTTAAATTAGATCCATCACTTTGACAGCAAATTTAAACAGCAGTAGTCTTACTTTGTAGCTTCCAGTGCACACATCCAGTAATGCATCTAAAACTCATTTCAGAGGTGCAGTTTGTGCTTTGGCATCAATGCTAAAAGGGGTTGATGATTTGGTAACAGTGTCATAAAAAGGTTTTTGATTTGCAAGCAGAACACTTACATGTTATGCAGTTTCACTTTTCTCCTGAGAACGGCATTTCCTGTGTTTTTGCTCTTGTATTTGTATTTTTTGTTTTAAGTTGTTCGTGCTCTCTGCTGAAACTGTCCTCTTACAGACTAATGAGGGAAAATAACTTTCAGATATGACATTATATTCTAATAATGACTTCTGTATGATTTAATATGTTCTTTGCATTAATATATTATATATTTTGCAAATACACTCAGCACAAATTTGAACAAATAAAACACACAAACCCAATTAGTAAATTAAAAAGCTAATGTTCTTAGATGCTTATTTTAAAACATTGCACTCAGGTGTTTTAATTGCTAATAATTACTTTCTATAAGGTGGAACCACTGTTTGGTGTGCACAAATAAAAATCTTTGGATTTGACTTTGTTTATAGTAAACACTATATGTTTATTGTTTTATTATGATGATCTCAATAAGACTGTTTACATAAAGCATTAAATTTATTAATACAAAGGTTTTCATCAATAATGATGATGAAGAGAGTAGTAGCTAAATCTTCTCTGTCTTTTCTCAGGTCATATTTGAAGCCGAGGTCTCAGACAGCAAAGCCGGGTTTATCGCCATAGACGACATTCAGGTGCTCAGCTACCCATGTGGTAAGTCGTTAGCATGCCAGCAATTAGTCCTAGTTCACTGAATAGACTCATAGCTTTGGCCACTAATTAGACTGTACCTCTGATGGTTTCTGTTGCAGCTGAATGGGTAGATAAGTGAGAAGGTGACACAGGAGAGGAGGGATGCAGTGAGAGGAGAAAGACGAGTCACAAAAAAAAATGAGAGGCGTAAAAAGGGAGACAGCGAGAAGGAGAAACAGAGAAAGAAGCAATGGGGGAGAGTGAAGCAGTAAATGAGACGGTATTAGGGCAATCATGGATAGAGAAGATTTTGACCACTCAGCACTTTCTCTCTCTTTGACCAACACACACACACGAAGTCGCACACACACACGGTGAACAGTAGCTGTCTTGTCTCATACTGACAGGAAAGAGTTGAAGGCTGCGATTCATTTTAAATTCTCGCTACATTTCAGGTCTTCTGCTCTCCTTCGCTTGAGTGTGTCCTCACTGCTAGAGGCCAAGAAAGAGTTGTGATGACGAGCTGTCGCTGTTAACAGAAAGGCCTGTTAATCTAAAACCATAGGCAGGTTCCTGGAGGGTCCCCATGTTGGAAAGGAAGCAATTACAACTCCCATTGGTCGTCTGTCTAGTAGCAGCGCTGAAATCTTTCAGGACAATTTTGCTTCTAAATAGATTTTATTGATTATAAGTCATAGAAATAAACTATCTTGCACAATCCCTTGGAGAGTTTCTGAGATCCTGGTATTCCTTTTGTCTCTGCCTCTGTCATAAGCTGTCGATATGTATAAAATTTGTAGACATTAATTTTGTCTGTAAAGTCACCTGGAATCTGATAAAATATGAAAAAAGAGCCCCAGTCTTTTAAAGGCTGAGGAGCAGCACTAATAGGAAGCAGCAAGTATTTGAAAAGGAATTAGTACTTAGTCTCCACAGTGGAAGCATTCATTCTCACAGCTGCATTTCTGGACACACAGGTTTGTGTGTGTGCACGCCACTGCATGAATGCATTTGTGCGAGCTTGTGTGTTTTCATTCACCATAGGAGCTGCTATCTATGATTGCAATCACCTCCCCAGAATAAAAAAGGTCATAGCTGAGCTGTATCTTCTCCGACTAAAAGGCCTGTTTCAGGTCTTAGTGTGGTAGTTAAAAACTGAAACTATATGAAATATAAACACTGATGTTACCACCCAGTGGCGATGCAGCTTTGGTTTCATCTGGCTCCGCTTAGGTGTAATTGCGGTTAAAATGAACATTTACCTTCAGGTACCAAAATGTCTTGAAACATCTACAGTGTGCTTGTGATAACCTGACCCTCTGGCTCTGCTACCTCATTTCCATTTTTAGCAGACAGATGAAATAAAACCAAAAACATATTACTTTGCTGTAAGCTCAATCTAGCTTCCTTAATTTGTTTGATTTCATTTCCTGTAGACAAATCCCCTCATTTTCTACGTCTTGGGGATGTGGAGGTGAATGCTGGACAAAACGCCACATTTCAGTGTATTGCTACGGGACGAGATACATCGAACAATAAACTCTGGCTACAGGTACAGCTGTATACAAACACATAAATGCAAACCGTGTTTTTGTGTATAGATAATGTGAAGGTATGTCATGCTGTGTTGAATGTTTGGGGGTGGGCACCATTTTTGGAGGCACATGCTGTATTTATCTGGATTGATTTGCATGTGTTCTTGTTCTATTTGGCTAAAAGGTTGTTTATTGACTGTGGTAATTCAAGATGGATATTCTCAGCTGACTGTAGCTAACTTGGAGCAGACCTAGAGATCCCATCTACAAGCGCGACAGACTGAAAAATAGGGGTGTGAGGAGATCTCGTGCTAGGAGATCCCGTAGATATCAAAACGTGATGACATTTATCATCATGCTGAAAGCTGTCTCACGATATCATAACATAACTTCATAACAAGAAACCATAACCACAGTATAAGTGCAATGTGTGTGAAGTGTGTTGAAAGGGGATGTTTAGCTATATTACAAGACATCATGTTTTCTTTTCTGTAGCAATTCTAGCTGTGAAGTTGTTTTGGTTTTATTTAACCAAGTTTTGAATTGTATTTTTTCTGCCTCCACCCAAATAAGGTGAATTTTGTTTATTATGCTAAAAGTGTTAAAGATTACCCTTTGCAAATTTTAACAGCATCACACATCTCAGAAATAATGGTTCAGTCACTGGAACTACTTTATCTCAGAGAAATAGTTTCTATAAGGAGCAGTAGACTCTTATCTTAAATGTATATTCTCTATGCTGTGAGTAACACAAGCTAAATTAAATTCAACTCTATTTTGTAAGAGGTGGGGGAAGAAATCTCAGTCAGATATCTCAGTGCCCTCGCAAATAAAAGAATTTGGAAAGGAACCAGCCCATTAATATCACACTCATCATCTTCGCATCTTAGCAGTTTCCCTGCAGATTTACATTGTAATGTTGATTAATGTGCACTGTCCCTATCAAATAAATACAACCAAATGCAACATATCTATATATATAGATATGTAATCCCCTAATGTAATGATGAAGTGATGAAGCACTGTGCTTCTAAATGCGCCACCCTCAGGACTGGTACATCCAATAATAAAGTGTCATCCACACTCAGACACACACACACAGACACACACACAGTGTGACTGCAGGCCATACATCCCAGCAGCTAACATGATTAAGAGTTTAATAGCTGCTGATGCCATTATGGCTCTATTGTAGTCATGACCTTCAAACCTGCTGTCAGTGAGGCGGAGGGGGGAGTAAGTGTGTGTGTAGATGGGTGTGTGTGGTCCAGTTCTGCCTTGTGACCTTGAGCAAGGCAGTTAACCCTCCGCAGCCACTGCAGCACCTGACCTGTCTGTCTGTCTTTGTGATTCAGAAGAGAAATGGAGAAGATATTCCTGTGGCTCAGACCAAAAACATCAACCACAGACGGTTTGCTGCCTCTTTCCACCTTAAAGAAGTCACAAATCAGGATCAAGATCTGTACCGCTGTGTCACGCAATCAGATCGTGGATCTGGGGTGTCTAACTTTGCAGGTCTTATCGTCAGAGGTGAGAATTTAAAAAAAATACTAATTCATAGTCATTGAATTGATTCACTGTCAACTCTCCTTTGTGTTCTTTCCTGTTTTTACTTCTGATTTTAAATTAAGTGTCTCAGAAAATATGTCTGCTTTAGTAGATAACTGCAATGGAAAGTAAAAAAGGTGGTTCAGTAATTTTGGAAACCAGTTGACTGTTCACTAAGCCCTCAAAATTATAATTTAGTACAGTACTTGAGTAAATGTACTTAGTTACTTTACACCTGTGGTTATTTCTGCTTTTACTTAAAGGATAATGTCGTTTCCTGAGATTTCCTCTTTATGTTATTGTTAACACATTTCATAAAGAGGCTTAAACCAACAATGAACACTGTGTACTCGCCGTAACGTCTGTGAATCCAGAACCCGGTGCAGCCCATTCGTCTGTGCCATAGGCTCCATGTTTCTTCCTCAGTAACTAGGTGAGGTGTGTCTTTTTTCAAAAATGAGTTTCAGAGGCTAAGAATGACCTTCACTTTTTACAGTCTCTGAAGTAACTGCTCTGTTCCTCTGCTAGCTTCTCACGCTCTTATGCGTATTGTGTGTAAGTTTTGTGTGTAACTTTTTGGAATGTCAGATGTCTATCCAATCAAATGCACATTCATTCACTGACAGCATCTGACTGATAAAAAAAAAAGTCATTAACACAGTACAGAGATAGTGTATTAGTGTGTGGAGGTTGTTTGTGTGTGTACATGTTCTGGTTGTGTGAATGGAAATTGTATGTGTGTGCACTCCAGCTGTCATGTGCAGCTGACATGTGGTTAATAAGGTGTCACCAATGTGTGTTTGAGATGGGATGCTTTATTCATTCACATCCAGTAGCTTACATATTCAATTCATCTCCCAGAGAGAGGCAGAGTGGGAGGGCAGAGAGGGAGGGTAAAGAGAGAGGCATGTCTACATTCATGTGTGTGTGTGTATATATATATATGTGTGTGTGTGTGTGTGTATACAGTATATATGTTTTTGTTGTGTTTTGATTTTAACGTGAGGTACACTGAATCTCCCCTGGAGTGAAATGTGCTATATAAATAAATTTAGTTTTGCTGTGCTAAAGGCAAAAGAGAATCAGAAAGAATGATATGGGGGGTGACACAAGGGAGGGGGAAGAAGTGGGAGACAGAGGGTGAGCAAAGAGAGAAGCGGAGATGGTGATGAAAAGTTAAGTGTAAACAGTCAGAATATCCATATCAGAATCAGGAATATGTCTGAATATGTAAACAGCTGCGCATAGTCATGTTTATTATTCTGCATACGGGATGGCAGAGGTGAAAGAAATGAGAAATCAAAGCAGAAGCTGGCACCATGAATATGAATTCTAGCTGGTGTGACTCAGGTAATAGAGCTTTTATACTGTCCAGTTTCAACTATGAGCTAGGGTTTCAGTCCCTGCTGGGAATCAATGTTTTTTCTTTGCTCACAAAATCTGGTGATTTTGGAGACATACTTTCTTTTCAGGAACTTGCAGGTTTAATAAGAATATATAAGTGGCTAATGTTTATTTATTATGAAAAACTTTTTTTGAATATGAGAAGGCAAATAGGAGCAAGATGAGGAATTCACACAACCGGAGACATGATGTCTAAACACAAATAGGACCAATCTAAATATATGAACATAGATTCAATCTCAATAAGACCCAGTGAGTGCAGTGTGTTTTGTAGCCAGGCACTGGTTAGAGAATGAGCCACTTTCACAATCTGTGACAAGATGCTTCTGGAGCTCTGAGGGATATTGGCAATTGTGAATATTGATCCAGTCTGGTTGTTAGAATGATATCACAATAAAAGAACGAGGACTGCATGTATGAATATGGAAGGAGATGAGCCTCATGTTTATTTATTAGAAATATTAGATGGGAGATGAGAGCCAGTGAGAAATCAAAGAAGCGTGTTTATTTCACTTCTTGAAATGTATGCATGTTGGAGATTTGCTGTTCCTGCAGGGCATTGACAACCATGAATATGGGCAGAGTTAAGGTGCATCACTAATGTTTTTACTCTTTATATTTTAGTATTTATTTACAGTCAAACTGAAGAGACAAGGAGAAAGATGGGAGGCAGGATTTTATTATATTAAGGTAGGATTCATACGAACATGAAAGATGGAAGAAATAATCATAAGGAAGTGTCAAAATATGACTTGTGTTACATGAAAAATGTTTGGCAGTTGGACAGTAACCCAGGTTTCATCTTCAAAGCCTGAAAAGTGGTCCGCTAGGTGATGTGAGATTGCCTCGATGCAGGTATATGCAGGCCTAGTCTATTGATATTTATAACATGTAGATGACTGAGATGTGCCATTATCACATCCCTCTGTGTGTGCTGGAGCTGTCAAGATCAGAGAAAAGAAGCACATTTTTGCTGTGACAGAGCCGCATCATGGGAGCAGGAGAGGTGAGACGTGGGATTGCCTGATCATTTTTAAGACATTTTTCTCTGCCTCAAGAGAAATCTAACACTGAACAAATGTTTTGCTTATCAAATAACCTGCCCATAGTTTTTACAGTTATTCAGCAGTTAATATTTTTAACTCAGCACAAGCTGATATCCTTTAAATTGCTTGTTTTGACTGACCAAACAAAACTAAAATGAAACTAAACAGTCTAATAAGGCAGCAACTGACAGTTATTTTTTATTGATGAATCTGCCAATTATTTTCTCAATAGTTATCCAGTTTGATCCACTGACACCTATGTTGGTGACGTCTTATTAGCTGGACGTGAGTTGAGGGGTCAAAGGTTGTGCCATAGTTTTGATATTCAGTGCTATGTACACAGTTCAGTTGGATTTTTTTTTTTTTTTTAAAGTACAAAGATTTGATACCCAGCCCTGTGTTTCAGCACTGGACTGATGGATGATGGAAAGTAGCAGTGGCCCTGTCTTCACAAGTTTCACTGTAGATGAACAGCGTCTACAGTATTTGTGCGCAGAGACACAAAGACCTATGAGAGAGTCCGACTGTGTATTTAACTGTGTGTATGTGTGTGTGTTTGTGTCGCTGGTGGTTTGGTCAAAGTCGAGCTTTAATAAAGCATTGCCCTCTGGTTCCTACGGTGACAGAGTGCATCATCACACCAGCGTGTATTGCACACCATAACACACTCACACACACACACACACACACACACACACACAAATCAACCATGCCAGTTTGCATTACACACAACCCATGGCCTAAAAAGCTCTTGCAATATTACTGTCACATGCAAGCACACAAACACGTGCGTGTATCAGACTTAGGAGAAGACACAACCAACTTGAATGTATACCACTATGTTAAACCAGTAATGGTCACTTCTAAAATGTCCCTTTCAATTTTTTTAACCTGTCATACACAGACACACACTTTCTCAGTCTAAGCAACAGTGACAGCTCAAGCTTCAGGCGTTATGGAACTACAGAAAACCTACTACCACTGTTGTGGACTCATACACACACTCCTCTCTAGCTCTGGAGGTCAGATGTCCTCCAGTGAGTCCCATGGTGATGTCAACAGGGGTTTGTGAAAGCTAACTTTATTGACAAGGTTGCTGATGATGGACAACAAAAAAGAACATGCCTACTGGGCACCAGTCACCAGTGGAATATCTGTCTGTCCTCTTTATTTCACTATGTCTGACTCTGTCTCTGTCCTGATGTGTTTACTACAACTGTTAAGTCTGAATATCAACCAACCCATCTTCAATGCTTCAGAAGTTGTTTTTTTTTTATATTCTAATATAAAAGGAAGTGAGTGGCAGTGGGGAAAAGGTCAAGTTATTTTGTTTGTTGATTTGTTTTGTTATTATCATTTACATTTGACCCCAAAACTAAGAAGTGATGAGCGGGAACACATGTGATTAATAGTAAAAAAAGATGGTGACAATAAACCCTTGGAAAACAGCACCACTGATGATTTGTTATACTGTATATATTTTTGGGTCATCTGTACAAATAATAACTGATGGAACAAAAACAGAAGAAAATCAAAAGCATCAGCTTATTCCAGCTCTTGTTTTTCCTCTGGAGTCACATAATGACCCACTTACATTTCTTACTGTTTCGTTTTTATTTCTATTATTTACCTTTTACTGATTCAATAGGTTTTTAAGTAATACACAAACAAATATTCAAGCTGCACCTATTGTTTTGTGTGCTTGAGTAAATGTATCTTTGTGAGTGTTTGCTTTATTTCTTTATTTGTTACCATCAAGTTGTTTACTTTGTTTATTTGATGGCATTGCATGCTGACATGTTGTTGACGTTGTTGGTTTTCTGAAGTCACTTCAGCCTTCATTATCTGAGTGCAGCTATACACGTGTGTGTGCGTGCATCTGTCTTTGCACACGTGCATGTGCTGTCAAACTACAGTGTTTCATCTGTTGCTGAAAAGACGCTTCCCAGCCTGCACCTCTCTGACAGCCACGTTCAATGCACGGAAACACAAACACTCAGATTTAGATGCACACAAAGAGAAAAAGGCGGCGGCAGTGAAAAATGTAACTATTAATGGAACAACAGGCACGGTAGCACATATGCACACAAATCATTTAGATAATACTCATGGCAATATGATATGACTGCAGCTGGCTATATTGCAAAAAAAAAAAAAAAAAACAACATCATCATCATCACGCAGATAGCAGTATAGCCAGGAGATATATCTGAGAATGTGTCTGAGAGAGATGAATCTATAAGATTTACTGTATATGAGGTAGATCACCGTCTGTGAGTGTGGAGAGTGTTCGTGATTAATTTGTGTGTTGATCTGTGTGTGTGTGTGTGTGTGTCAAGTAGATGAATCTTTGATGCAGAGTTTTTAGAGGTTGTGCATGTGGTGCTTTGGGCTTGTCAATCATAGATGCTTGACATTTAGTCTGATTGTGTGGCTATGAATCATCACATATCCATTATATATACGTACAAGTACATAGACAGAATTTATTGACTGAACGCATCGTGCAGTGTAGTACTTACATCTGTATGTCTAAATGCTTAATGTTTTAAAATTAAATGTAATTTCTCAACCAATCATTGTACTTAAGTGTATTGGAAAATCTTAATGGCACAAGCATGTAAAGGTCATTGTGCTTTGCTGTTTCTTTTGCTAAATCTATACTAAGAGATATAATCGTAGATCTCAAATGAAGGGAAGAAAATGAGAGAAAAATAAGGTAAATTTGTGAAATTGATTTTACACTGGGATACACACACCAAATGGCACCATAAGCAGTCTACTAATAAAATGTGCAGAAAAGAATCTTTAAATCTAGATGCACACCTATTGTTATTGCCTCTAGTAAGCAATTTTCAAACCAAAGCCCCTTTTAGAAATACAGCTCATTACTTCATTGTGATGCCAAGATTATGATCTCTTTTTCAAGAAAGCTGTGTGTACAAGTGTTAAACATATACAGTTTAAATAAGACACATTTCACATATGGTCACAACTGTTTTACATTAAAAAAAGCAGTTACGGTACATGTAGGATTCCAAATACTTAAGTATAGTCTTTTAAAATCTTATGTTGGGATGTGGGATGTCACAATCCCTGAATCCAGCCACTACAAATAAAATGCATGTACCTGAACTCAGTGGGTCTTACAGGAGTTAGTGTTTTCTCTCTGGCACTGAATGGCTGGACATGTTTAGCAAATGAGTTCACCAAGACACAGCTCTACTGTCATTACATTGCAGGTCAGAGCTGTTACCCCTCATCGGGGAGTTTTTAATGATTTGTTCCATTAGTTGTCATTATTCACTAGTAGTTTATTTAAAATATTTGCTCACACATCACATGTGAGCTGTTACACAAATGAGGCTTTGTATCACAGAAACTACAACATGTCAGTCCTTGTGCAACTGCCTTCTTTTGTTTTATTGTTGCCTTGTTTCACTGTTTCTTTCATCTTGTGAGGCCCTTTGAAACCTTCCCTTATGATGTTCATTGTTTTCTCTCCTCAGAGCCACCGCACCCCATCGCACCACCCCAGCTGCTGGGTGTTGGCCCAACGTACCTGCTGATTCAGCTCAATGCTAACTCCATATTTGGAGATGGGCCTATTATACTGAAAGAGGTATGTTCTGTGTAAAATATTGTGTGAATTTTAAGCCATAAATTCTATGCAGCGGTGTTCTAGGAAGCCAGTGTAAATCAGGGCATCAACGTGATGATGTATTGCACTTAAAAATGACATCAATAACCATCAGATTTTGCATCAGTAGCAATAACTGACCACAGAAGTGACCATTTATCCTTTCAAAGGAAAGCAGTGTTTCCAAATGACATGTCAAAATAATAATGCAGCTCTTTGTGAAATTATTTTCCTCCTGTGACTTAAAGTAGTTGTGTTAATGTTAAGCTAGAACCAGCAGGCAGTTATCTTAGCCTAGCATAAACACTCAAAATAGGAGGACTCAGTCCAAAATTGATATAGAAATATTGTGATAATATGCAAAATTGTTGTTTTCAGCTTTGGCACTAGCCAGGCTGTTTCCCAAGATTTCAGTCTTTTTGATAAGTTAAACTAAGAGTAGCTTTATTTTTGAATAAATGTGAAGGTCAGTTATGAGCATGGTATTAATCCTCTCATGTAACTCTAGGAAAGAAACCCTACAGCAGAATTGCCTAAGCTGTCAAATTATTCCTTTAAGCTAAGTGGTAATTTAACATTTACGTTGATGCTGAGTATGATTTCTTGATTATTACTTAATTAAACTATACCATGTCATTTTTATTCTTTGCTGTAGGTCGAGTACCGTATGACATCCGGCACCTGGACGGAGACTCATGCTGTGAACTCTCCCAACTATAAGCTATGGCATCTGGACCCAGACACAGAATATGAGATCAGAGTCTTACTAACCAGACCAGGAGAGGGAGGGACAGGCAAACCTGGACCACCACTGATTACCCGGACCAAATGTGCAGGTAGGCCATAGACACATAGTACGTACTGAAGAAATGTGGCTAAACTGTGATCACCACAAAGAAGACAGCCATCAGTAAATCAGTTCTAATCTTGAATTATTATGTTGTTTACCAAAATACTGTATACTTTAAAATATTTCCTCACACTATTAACTATCATGAATTCTGTGAGGGTGGATACATGTCCTCAAGAAAAATGTAGGGCACTTAGTCGAGTGTGGTCTGCTCTGGCTTATATCTTTTTCTGCCTGTGTAATAATCTAGCGGTCCATCTACTGTTTTTTGTTTTCGTTTTTTTTCTTTTTGTCTTGATATATATATATTTTAGTTGGTGGAGTGATGTTTGTGCTCTGAGCAGACAGTGAGACGAAAGTGAGAAGAGCTGAAGAAAGGAGGGGAGAGCTTGGGTCAGTCTGTGGTTGCTCAGTGATCTGAGAGAAAGAGTGACTAAAATACTAGACGCTCTCTCTCCACCTTTCTCACT